GAGGGGAGCGGGAGTGCCCCGAGGGGAGCGGGAGTGCCCCGAGGGGAGCGGGAGTGCCCCGAGGGCAGCGGGAATGCTCTGAGGGCAGCGGGAATGCTCTGAGGGCAGCGGGAATGCCCTGAGGGCAGCAGCAGCCGAGGCCCGGGCCGTGCCCCGCGCCCCCCGGCGCCCTCTGGCGGGTCGGGCCATGGCTGCCGGGGGTGTGTGGGCGGCCCGGGGGGCGGTGGCGGAGGCGGAGGAGAGCGTGGCGGTGTGAGGGAAGGGGAGGGCAGAGCCGCGCCGGGAGGGCAGAGCCGCGCCGGGCGGGCGGGCGGGCGACACCTGGGCGGCTGCGCTGTCCTCCTCCTCCTCTCACGTAGGTTTCGACTTTCTTCCCCGCCCGGAAACTTGGTGGAGGCGCCGCGCTCGCCGCCGTCGCAGGCCGGGCTGGCGCTGGGCTCCCCGCGCCTCCTCACTGCCCTTCCCAGGGGCGAGAGAGCCCCTTCCCAGCCCCGGCGGCCGCAGGTGAGCGGGGGGGGTGCGGTGTGCGAGGGACGCGGGGGTCCCGCTGGGCTGAGGGCGGGGAGATCTCACCGGGGCTGAGGGGAGCGGGTGTCCCGCTGGGGTTGAGGGGACACGAGGGTCCCCTGAGGGGACGTGGAGGTCCCACTGGGGCTGAGGAGCGCGGGGATCCCCTCAGGGGACGTGGAGGGTTGAGGGGACACGAGGGGCCGCGGGGTCCCTGCGGGCGGTCGCGGATCAGCCGAGGGCGGCAGGTCCCGCTCGGCCCTCCCAGGAGGGTTCCGAGCCCACGTCCCTGATCGGGAGCGCAGGTGGAGGCTCAGCCCCGGGGTTTGGCTCCTCGGAGCTCGGCCCTGCCGCCCAGCAGGGCTCGGTCCTGTGCGGGACCCCTCTTGCCGGGGGTCGGAGGGAGCCTGTGGGACAAAGTGTCTTTGCCTGGAGACGGAGAGGGGCCGAGTCGGCGGGTTTGCTGGTAATTAATGCAGGAAAAATAGCCTATAAATAGAAGTTGAGATAACAGGCAAAGCCCTGCAAGGTGAGGATGGTGGACCTTTTGGAAATGCCCTTAAGGTAGGAGGTACAGGTGGTGATAAATATGAGGTAATGCTCTGGACAGGCTGAAGTTTAACCCGTGTTTAAGAGTTACCATATATGTGGAAAGATTTTTATTTGGAAGTTTTTTATGAGGGGTGTAAAGCGGGGTGAGGCCGTGCTGCTGAGAGGGTGATCCGGCTCTGGCTGTGTGCTCTTGACATCTCTGTCCTTCTGACGTGATCCTCGCTGTCCGACTGAGAAGGAGCAGGAGAGGCAGCAGCCGGCTGATGCCAGCGCAGGAGGTGGCAGGGAGAGCGGGACTGCCCCTTTCGGTGGCAGTGCAGGCTTAGTTTGCTTTAAGCTGTGCTTGAAACGGCACTTTCAATTCCTTGAGGGGTTTTGGGGTCCTATTTTACCTTGGTAAAGCAAGGAATGCAAAATGAGCGATTCCCCGTTGCTTACCGACCCGAAAAAGGGTCATATTTTCACTTCTGCTCCAGTTTTTTAGCCAAGGCAGAAGGACCAGAATATAGTCTCCGTAGAAGAAACTGTTCCAGCTCCAGTGCAGACACTAAGTGGTCGGGAAGGTCTCTGCTGAGCAGAGGATGTGTCCGAGCAGGGGCACAGCACACAAGCCTATGGAGATAATGGGCAGCCCAGGGATGTTTCTGGTTGTCCAGTGTAATCCTTTTGCCCCTGCAGGCTCCAGAGCAGCCCAAGGTTTGGGTGGTGTGGTCTGAAGAGCTGTGGCTCTCCAGCAGTGCCAGTTGTGTGCCGTGCCTTTGAGAGACGGCGCTGACGTTTGTCCTTGATGTGGGGAGGCCAGAGCTCTTCTGGCAGCTCTCCAGCACAGAGGGAGCACATTGCACACACGGCTCCTTCAAAACAAAACTTCTTTCTCTGAAGTTGCACACTCAGAGTCATCTCTCACCATTTCTCTAAGCAGATGTAGTGTGTCTGCTGCTGAAAGGCCTAAGGCAGTGGGAATATTTATTCCCTCCCCCAAAGAGATTTGCTCCCTGAACCAGATTATGAACTCAGAACAGCACCAGTGCTTGTCCAGGGAAAAACAAAGGGGTCTTATGGCTGGGGATAGAGCGGAGAAATGATAAACAGGAGGCCAACCTTTTCTGGGGTTCACCAGCTGCGCTGTAAATCTACTCACCTTCTCCGTGTGTCTGAGCTGGCAGGAGAGCTGGATGCACATGAAACTCATTGAAATAACGGGGCTACACTACAATAAACCGCATGAAATGGGGAGAAGGACCTGTGGTGTGCAGCAAAAAGGAACCTCGGCTGTTAAACAACAAGTTTCAAGTTCCTAACCAAAGGAATACTGAGGGAAGGGAGAGAGAATTAAGAAGCAAGACCCACCATATGGCCTGGGGAGAGAGAGCTGAAAAAGGTGGAGGAAACAGTTCCAGCAGGGACCAGAGCTATATGACCTCCAAAGAAACCCACAGGGTTTGGAGATACCTGATGAAACAGATTGAAGATTATTCTGGATAACTTCAGTGCTGCCTGAATTGCAGTTCCAGTACCTTCTAGAAATTGTAATTAGTTTCATAAACTAGTGCAGTACTTCCCTAAGCATGGTTAATAAAAGAACTTACACATTTGAGACTGTAGATTCTTAGACTTACACTATTTAATAAGAATAAATATAAGTGCAGAATGAAATATCTGTAGTTCATGAAGCACCCTGGCTGTATTTTGTTACTCCTCCTCCTGCATTGTCATATATTCTTTTCTGCATTAAAATAAAAAAAAAAATCCTGCTGCAACAGCTACAGTATTGGTTTCACTTTGAAAATTAAGCTGCATCATTTCATTCTGCTTGTGTGTGTCTCACCAGAGCAGCCGCAGCTGCTGCCTTACTCACAGCCCTGAGTATGTTTTGCTGGTTTAATACAAACCCCTCTTGTTTGGCTTTTCCTCCTCCTCTTGCTTTAGTGGTGCTGTTCACACAGTTGTTAGGAATTGCATTTGACAGTCCCTCATCGTTATGTTCCCTGAGTTATAGCACAGAAAATGTTGCTCTTGGCTTAGAAATTTCTTGACACCAATTGAGTTTGAAAATACAAAAATATCTGGCAGTTTTTCTGATGCCTCAGATAAGAAATTGCCTGTGAGTCAGTATCTCACAAACCATCTAAAGGGTTAGAGGGGATTTAGATGAACGAGTAGTAGGAATTACTGTGCTGGTCCAGGGAAAAGCACTCCAGGCTGGAAGGAGGGAAATGGAATAAAGTTGGAGGGATTTGGGGAGACAATCAGCAGCTTACAGGCCAAGGCTGGTTTGGATATGTAGTAATCCCCTGAGTTTAGAGGGTCTCTGTGCAAATTTTGGTTGAAGACTGTAGTGGTCCTCATTTAGAATATTCTGGAAAGGAAGTACTAGAAGGGATTATGTATTTTTAAAAAGTGTTGTTCAACTTTGCCTACTCTTTGCCTGGACCTTAAACCATGCAAGTTTTGTAAACAGCTGTAGCAGACTCTCTCTTTAAAAGCAGATTTTCTGACAGTTAAAAACGGGTTGAGATAAAACTTGACCTGCTCCTCTGAGAGTTGAAGGGACTCACCTGTGCCGTCAACGTGACGGTTGTTAAAAGTCCTCTAAATCGTGGTCAGCCCTATCTGAAAAGTTCTCACTTATCTATTAGCCCATGGCTGGGGGTTGATAAAGATGAATTCTTCTCACCTCATAAATGCTATTGCAGATCTCTAAATAGCAAATAAATAACTAAAGTGGTGCCTGCTCTGGGAAACTTCGATCTGAGGGTTTCCTCTTTTACGTGATCTCCCTTGGTAGTGAACAGAAACTGCCGCCTGATTATTTCGAGGATACGTGAAAATACAGAGAATGGGTCTTCTGGGCCTTTTTGTCCTCGGGATAAAACCCAGTTGCCGGGGAGGTTCACACCGGGGGTACTTTGCTCCTACTCGAGGGCTGAAGAGCGGCCAGAGGAAGGAATTGCTTCCCCATTCCTGCCCCCAGCGGGGCTGCGGGTGCTTCACGGGTGGCTGGGGAGGAATGTGGCTGCATTGATCTGGGAACAACTTTGCTCTGTTGTCTCAGCTCATTGAACTGGCGGGACGGCCACACCCATTTTTAAATTATTTTTAGAACTAGGGAAAATGTAATTATCAATTCATGCACCCTGCAAATATGTGCCCAATACGGTGACATAACAGTGGGGTTTAATGTTCTGTTTCTGCTTTGACAAAGCTCTAAATCAGGATAGGAATTGAAATAAAAACAACAAACCCCAAATCAAAAAATCCTGTTGCAGTTTTGTTTCCCCCAGCTGTGAGGGTTGTTTCAAGTGAACAAGATACGCCAGGAGAAATTGTCCTATGAAAAGCCATCTGAAATTCCATGTGCAGCTGTAGTCAAGCTCCTGCACCAGTAATCCAGGTGTTTTAAGCAGCAGGTTGTGTCTCAAGTCCTGTAAACCTGAGCCATAACGCTGGTCTGTATGTAATTCTTAATCCAGAGATTTTTATTTGGAGTGTTTTACTTCTGCTGTTTTGCTTCTTTACTTCACCTGTGGTGAAGGGCATTTCAGCTCCCGGTTGCAGCAGCAGCTCTGCCTGCCCAGAGGCGCTGGCAGGAGTTTGAGTTCACCTCAAACTTAGCTGCAGTTTGAGGAGACCTGCTCTAGAGAACTAACTTCTGGGTTCTTTTGTTTAAATGAAGATAACTTGTTTACTTTCTTTCCCCTTTACCTGGTGAGATGCAATGTAAAGGGGAATTACAGACTTAATTATCTCTTAATTCAACCTTTTTAAGTTAGTGGGAACAAGCTTGGGCTGGAAAGTCCGTTGCACTGGGTTTGATAAAATGCCCAATGATTCTGTGAAAGGAAGTCTGGGGTGTTGTGTGAGCAGGGTGATGTGTCCTGCTGTCACCCTGCTGTCACCCTGCTGTCACCCATGGCATCAGGCACAGGCTGGAGCTGTTGAGAAAGAGAGCCAGGCCAGGGGAATGTAATGGTCTGGTTGTATCCTGTGGAGCTGAGATTCCAAGTGCCTGTTGATATAAAGGGATGCTGCTACAGACTGTGCCAAACTTTAACTTTAAACAGAACACCATTAAAAAAGCAGTTCTACTGTAGCTGAGACTTGGACAGGGTAATAAGGGGTTCTGTTCTCTTTATCTCCTGTTGATAGGAAATATTTCATCCCCAGGTGCAGAACTGCTTTCATGCTGCTGGATTGCTTGTGGTAAAGTTTTGTAGAAAACAGTGTTGCAGAAGTGTTGTTTATTTGTGTTTTAGCTAGCCTAGAAAATGAGTTATTTCATGCTGAAGGTTGAGAGTAGCCAAGATTAGTTGCTTTAAACTGAAATTAATTTTTTCTAATTTCAAAGTAACACTTGATAGAGTGATAAAG